CTTGTGATTCTCAAGATGGTTCATGCTCATATCTTGATGGATTGTGTCTCCTTCTTAGCTAAATTAGTTTAATTTTAATGGCTTAATTGTAGTTTAGTGATAGTATAATATTAGATGGGAAGACAATCCATGCTAGTTGTTTGATGCTCCATACTTTTGAATGCAAGTAGCATTTGTCTCTAATGTTGTGTTGTATTTGTATTGTGAGCCTAATGAAAAGGACTAATGATTTGCTAGATATGTTGTGCTTTTCATATGCTATTTAGACAATTTATACTTAATTGCTAGATATATTGTGCTTTTCACATGTTGGTTAGACAATATATACTTAATTAGTCATCATTGCTTGTTGAATCAACCAAATACACACATACCAATATTGCAATACCCTAATTGCCCTCATTAATCACTTGTTAATAATATAGAAATGCATTGCTTGGTGGTGATCTCTAAACCCCAAGACTCTTCTCTCTCTCTCTTGCTTAATCTCTATTGCATTCAATTACGTAGTTTAATTTTGTTGCTCTTTAATCAACCTACCAACCAATTGTTTGATCACTCGACCTACTAACCCTAATAGCGATTCCACAATCAACTCCGACTCCAATCCCTTGGGACGATCCCTACTCGCCCTAGCTATATTTATAGTGAAATGTAGTAGTGGCTTTTACAAATGTAAAACTTGACCCTCACTTAAATTGCACATTCTCAAACGTATGGTAGGACGACGGCAATCATTATCCCATTTACACTTGTATGCCCATTGTGCACTGTTATTATCCCCTTTTTGTTATCTGATCATCTTTTATCCTAGTGCCATCTTTTCAGGACCACAGTCAATCCTAAGTTTGGGGGGGTTGTACCACCCACTTCGAATATTTGTGTCCCGGTCATTTTTTGCCATAGCTGCACTGGTATACTCTTTCCTTTTGTTCTCTTTGCACATTGAGGATACTGTGCCATTTAAGTTTGGGGGTAATGTGTGTTCTTTGCAGTGTTTGTTTTCAATTCAAAATTTTGAGCATGACTTGTGTATTTGAGGGATTTTCTATGATTGGTCCATGACTAGCTATAATTTTGATCTTTTTAGGACTGTATTGCTTAGAATTTAAAAATTGTTTGACTTGAAAGTTCAATACTTCTTGTATGCCTTGTGGATACCATTTAGGAGTAAATTTTTTGAAAGATTGATATCTTGCTTGCACTTATGGGCTACATTATCTTGATTTTGTTATTGTTTTGAGATGCACTCTATGATTCTATAGTAGCACAGACGCACACTAGCATTCATGTGTGGGGTACATGCTTTGTTAATTATTGATTTGGTTACATCCCAATTGAGCTAGACGCACACTAGCATTCATGTGTGGGGTACATGCTTTGTTAATTATTGATTTGGTTACATCCCAATTGAGCTAGTAGTGCATTGAAAGCTTTCATTCTTGATAAAGGTAGATAACAAACCCTTTTCATTGAGTAGTCGGGATTCTAGCTTCATCAAGCACTGAATTTCTCGGACCGAAAGGTGGAGGGCCCAAACTCTAGGTTAATAATTACAAAAAAAAAAAAAAAAAAAGGTTGCAAAAGCAATAAAAAAAAGTGAGGACTTCTCCCAAAAGGTGAGAAGTGGGAAATGATTAGATGGAGGTTGTTTTCATTTGTAGCCTAGTTGATTTGAGCTTGTAAGTCCTTAGGGGTGTTTAAGCACCTAGTGCCCTAAAACTGTTTGGTTTGAGAGTCATTGACCTAACGCTTGACCTCATAGATCGCTAGAAATCTTAATAAATCAACATATTACACTATGCTTCCATCTTTGATCCATTAGGTTAGTACAAAAAAAAAAAAAAAAAAAAAAAAAAAAAAAAAAAAAATCGAGTGGAAAGAATAAGCATACCTAAATCAATAAAGTTTTAATAAAAGGTCCATCATTTATCTTGGTGATCGGTACTAGATTTGTGTGCTAGTTTGAGGGTAAGGATGTGATCATTTCTTTAGTTGGCTTAGATAGCAACATATTTGATGCCGGTTCACTCAAAAAGGATTCTAGAGTTGTTTTGATTTGCATGATCATTTTCTTGTTGTGTGGAGGACCTTACTTATTTGCTTGATGCTGAGATTTTAGGAGATTGCTTGGAAATGGTTGAAAAATTGCATACTTGAGGTAGTTTTCTCCCAATGCTTGTTTGGAATATTGGTGCCTCTTTAAAGAGAATGAGCTTAATGTTTGTGGGTATCATTTCTGGAAACCCTCACGAGACTTCACCCATCCACTAGGGGTAACCTAGGGGTTTAAAAGGCTTGTTGCATGCGCTAAACGCAATCATGTTCCCTACGAAAGTGGCGTTATCCTTTTATTGATTTCTAGCTCATAGTTGTATAATTATTCATTTCATTCCTTTGCTTTGTAGTTCATTGTTAGGGACTAGCAATATTTAAGTTTGGAGGTGTGATGAGTATTGAAAAGTGCATATTTAAACCCCTTAAGCTCGAGTATTCTAGAACCTTTATCTATCTTATTTTCTCATTTTAGACTAATTTCATGTTATTTCCCTTTTCAGGCGCTTATCCCCAAAATAAGTTAATTCAGCCAAATTAGAGCATAAAAGAAGCAATCTCAAGCCAAATGGAAAAAATGAGCAAAGTGGAAGCAAAGTGGTGGAAAACAGCAAGTTTCGATCGATCAGACCAAGCTCAGATTGATCTCACAGTGATTGTTCCAACCATTTCAAGATGGATCAAGCTTTTTGTCATTTTCCTTGCCAAAATACCTTCTTCGATCGATCCAATAATTCTCTGATCGATCGAACTTCTTTGATCTTATCCCCACCTATCAGTTTTGTCTTTTTTCCAAAATATCCCAAAAATATCTCATATTTATCTTATTCCAAAAAGGTGCTACTAAGGTTTGATTGATCTGGCCATATTCTGATTGATCTGGCTATAGTTCGATCGATCTCATCAGAATTCGATCGATCGAACTCCCTCAAGTTTGAAAAAAAAAAAACAAAGTCCAACTCATTAAAAGATGGCTCGTGGTGCAATCATTGAAAGGGCCCTAGTGCACGAGACCTGACCATTGGGTGTGACACTTGAGCTACCTATATAAGGATTTTGAGCCATTTTACACATATATAATTTGAGACATATACATAATCTTGGGGAGGAGTCTAGAGATAGAGAGAGATATACACCATTTGGGAGTTCTTCCATTCATCAAGGGTTCCCATCAAGAAGAAGATCATTTCTACCATGGAGATGGCCTTTGAGGGTTGGATGACTACATCAATGAGTGGCTAAACATCTTCTTGGGCTGGAGTTAGCCCTAAGCATGCCTTCTAGATCTTAATGTTTTGTATTTTGAGGGGATTTGTGTTGTAATCTTGTCTTGACATTTGAGTTATATATGAATCTTGTTTCTGCAATGATTTGTGTTGTTTAATACTTCTAATTAATCATTTCATTCTACTCATATCTTTATGTATGTTAGAATAGATGTTCATATGTTTATCTCTAGGCTTTGTGTTATTGATGCATGTCTATGTGTGTTGATGTTATGAATCTAGAGATTGTTAAGGCGTGGTGCTTTAATGGAATACTCTTATGGTTTATTTGATGGTTCATACTCATTTCTTGATGGATTGTACTTCTATCTTAGTTAAATTAGTTTAATTTTCATGTCCTTAGCTTAGTTGTAGTGTAGCTGCCTTACTTTCTTATATGTGAGGACAATCCACGCTTGTTTTTTGATGTTCTATGATTATGAATGCAGGTAGTATAATTCTTTAGCTTGTTAATGCGTTTTGATTGTGAGCTTAAAGGAAGGAATAATGGCTTAGTTTGATATATTGTGCTATTCATTAGGTTGTCTACACAATGTATACTTAATTAGTCATCAATACTTGTTGATTCAATCAATCACACCTCTTAGTATTGCAACACATATTTCCCCCCATTCTTTACACATTGAGTATCTAGAAAGGTGATGTTTAGTGGTGACCTCTAAATCCCAAGATCCCTTTGTGTTGTTCTCTACCCTTTATTTACTTTAATTGCTTTGTATTGAATTTGTTTACATTGTAGTTTAATTAACCAATCAAACCACCTTTTCATCACTCGACCCACTAATCCGACCTTGTTTCCATCTCAAATACACATCTGATCCCTTGGGACGATCCTTACTCTTCCTAGCTATATTAGTAGTTAGAGGTAGTAGTGACACTTTATAAATTCAAACTTGGCCACACTTTTGTACGCAATTTGGGTGCCCACGACAACATGAACCAAATACCATACTCTGCAATCATTAAATCCCATTCCTTGATAAAATCATCCTCCTTCTCAATTTAAAACATTAATCTTGAGATAACCTTCTTTACTCCTTTAACGCATTTAAACAGAAACAGTAGGTTCTTCTGCGCATTATTCATTAAGTGCCAAACACATAAATGGTGTTTTGTCACCGGCATGACCTGTAAGATTAATTAACTTAATATCTGTGTTGCAATATTGCAAATACAAAAAATACGACTGAAATAATACGATTGTTTCAGCGTACCAAGTGACAAGAATGGAGATGCATGAAAGTTATTCAACTGCTTTAATGCCTTCACCATTGCAGCGTCTTGATCCGTAATAATCATCTTTGGCATTTTTCTGCCCATCGCTTTCAAGAACGTTTCAAATAACCAAACAAACGAATCTGCTGTCTCATCATACATTATAGTTGCTCCAAACACAGCGGCCTCTCGATGATGATTCATACCCAAGAAAATTGCAAATGGTCTGTTACCGTGTACCACTTTGTACGTTGTGTCGAAACTGATAACATCTCCAAAATGGCCATAATCAATAATCATTTTACAATCTGACCAGAATATGTTCGTAATCATTTGCTTAGTATCTAGTTGTAAGAAATTAAAGAACGAAGGATCTTCACAAGCACGCGTCTCAAAGTAATCTATAAGTCATGCCGCTTCTCCATAAAGAAGCTCATTTTGTCTTCACGTCCTTAGATAATTTTTAAGATCCACTTTCAAATACCCAACTGATTCTTTGCCACTAAATTGCCTTCCCATCAACTCATATGCATTACAAGTTGGAACTCCTGAATCCAAATCCAACTCAACATCAATGGCCTGGACTAAGGAAATTCGTCGCTGGGACGGCATCATGTGGCTGCATTCAGCAATTATGAATGGATGGTTATGACTTTCTAAAAATTTAGAAACTACGTACTTTGCCTTTCTCTTGTTATATCTAAGAGCCATTCATGCACCGCAATTGGTTCGTGTTTCAGCCAGGGGAGTCATTCTAAATACATCCCGTTTGTCAGTCCCCTTCACGCCTTACTTACTACAAACTAATGCCCTTGATGTAATTCTTCCACTAACTTTATTTCCATACTCCTTTCGGATGCTAAAACCAATTCCACCACCATATGCATTGTAAAAATCATATGCCTGTTCCTCACTATCAAAATCCGTTTCATACCTTGGTTTCCATTTAATCACTTCTGGTTCTATAACAGGAACATTTTGTCCGTTTATTGTATTTTGAATATTATTTACTTCACCTTCCATTTAAACGGCTTAAATACAAAAAAATTTCTCACATATGCACAAAATATTGAATTAACAAAAAAAAAAAAAAAATTTACTTCTACATCTGAAGAAACACAGAAATTTTCCCCAATTTAGAAAAAGAAATTGTGCACTTCAAATAATTTTTTCAAGCCCTTTTCCCTCTTATTTTCGTCTATTTATAGATGGTTACAACTACTCCTGAAGCTTTCTAACTGACTTTCTTGTGATGGGCTGGCCTTACTTGTTTTCTTTTCGTTTGGGCCTAATTCATTTCATCATACTGCAAGTTTTTCTACCGTCCTCTTGGGCTTGGGCCCTCTTAACGAGGACTTACTCCATTCCTATTGCTTTTACCCAATCCATTCTCAACAATTTGGGTCTCATCAAGCCCAGGTCATTTTTGGTGTCCTCATCTGCCCCTATAATCTTTCCCTAATTAATTAGGGTGAGATTATCGAAAAGACACAATCATGATTTAACGGCTCGGAGTAATGACATAGGGAATCGAACGGCTGGCCCAAAGATGCATACCTTGAGATCTGTTGCGCCACTCTTCGTCTTAACCCTTTGAACATTGAATTGCCTTCATTTCTTCTCTACAAAAATCCTATCCTCTGAATCTCTGTCTTTCTTTAATCTCTCCCATCTTCATCCTCCTTTGTCGTCTTCTCCGATTGCCCCTGTCATCTTCCTGCATTTTTCGGCGAGCTTTTCTTTGCGATTTGGCTTTTATATTGTTACAGGGTACTTAGTGAACTTATTTCCTAAGGTCAGCTTCTTTATCTTCCTTTTCTTTTTGAAAGAAAACTTTTGTACCCAGAGATTCTTTCCCTTTCCATGGCTCCCCTTAACTTGGATGCCATCTATTCTAAGAATAGCATCCCGAATGACGTTTCCCTTAGAATATATCCCACAAATCTGGGTGAGAGATCTGGTGAGGGTCTCCTTCCTGGGGAGATTTTATTCTCTGTTATTCACTTAAACGTAATTAGGTTCCCTCTGCACCCATTCTTCTGTTATGTCTTCAATAAATTGGTGCTTTGCCCTCTGCAGGTTAACCCTAACTTTCTTATGGTAATCTCAGTCCTTCTACTCTTGAACCGTGATAGGGATCTCAGTTTAGATATTATTGATCTTCTCATTTGTTATTGAATTAACAGAATCAAACACAGTGAGAAGTATTTCCATTTCTATCCTATTGAAAAACGGTCCATCTATACGGACAAGCTCTCTTTCGAAAAGGGTTGGAGACAAAATCTAATTGGGGTTAGTGGGAATTGGCAAACTCTGCTCAGCCAGTCCTTCCCTGTCCCTACCATTGTGAGTGCTCTGTCTCTGGCAATAAAAAGCTTAAAAAACACCCCACTGATTGCCATTGTGAAAATTGCCTTCTTCATTTTTGTACTTTTCTTTGTCAATGTCTTCAAATTCAACATGACGAACTAGTTTATAGCGTTTACAGGGCCAGGCTTGACATCATACAGGAGAGAGTGCTGAATAACATCCCTTTAGCCACTGACTTGCTTACCCCTGACAATCTCTCTGATATCTCTCTCTTAGGATCTACAATGGAGAGTATCCAAATCCCATCCTTCAGTAGGAGGAGGCACTCTGCCCCCACTCTTCCTTCTGAACCTGTCATCCCAATGACTTCTTCAACCGTTCCAACTTTGGAATAAGTTACTTCATCTGTCCCAATCCCGGAACAAGTTACGACTGTCCCGGTTATTACCTAAGTTGTAGATCACTTTATTGCTGGGACCTCTACATCTTCCCCTGCTAAAGCTCAAGTCGCAGGTCTTTCCACTGAGGCTCAACCCACTGCACCGACCGATGAATCTTCTAACATTCTAACTGATACTTCTTCAGATAACACTCAGGATGTTGGAGGTTCTAATTGGAGCAATAGAAGATCTCCTCCAGTCCTAGTTGACGCGTCATAGAAAAGCCTGGGCAAAAGGCCAATGCCCGAGGGTGGTCGTGATCAGAGCGACATCCCATCAGCACAGAGGGCTAGGGTGACCTCTTTTAGGATCACTGACCCTTTTCCCCCTCCTCAGTTATTCATTCCAGAAGGTGAATCCGCCAGGACCTCTGGTACCACATTATCTGTTCTTCCATGGCGCCTCTTGCTCAACCGTGAGGATGGCTCGACTATTGGCCCCATAGATTCTGTATACGAAGATCCTCCTACTTCGTTTGCTTTCTACAAGGGCTTCTAGACTCCCAAGGACCTTAAGATCCAGAACAAGATGACTTTAAATGAAATGTACCGGCGATTTCCAGCTGTCGCCATTAAGGTAACTCTTCTCCCCTTGAGATACACTTCTTTTTCATTTTAATTATTTGACGATTGAACTGATCAGAATGCACTTTTCTCCGTGCAGACTCTATTCGGGATGTTTACCTTTTAGAAGAGTATTGAAGCTCTAAATAAGAAGCTTAAGTCCCTCTCTGCTGGCCTTAAGAGATCTGTTGAATCAGAGAACTTGCTTGAGGCCAAGAATTCTGAACTCCTGGTTAAGATGAATGAATCTAAGAAGGCAACGGCTGCTTTGACAGCTGCAAGGGATTCTCTGAAAACTAAGAGGGATGCTCTGGCAGATGAGAAGGATGCTCTGAAGGCTAAATAAGAGGCCATTAAAGCCGAACGAGACTCTCTTCAGGATGAAGTTGATGTCTTGAAGACTAAGAAAAATGTTGCCCTTACTGAAAGGAATTTATTGAGGAATGAGAAGGGTGACCTTCAGCGTACACTTATTGCTCAACGGTTGACCCATGTAAACTCAAAAGAGAAATTCACAAATGAACGCTCTTCTTTGCTACACATCATTGGCAAAGTTGAGGGTGGCATACGAGCTCTTCATGCTCGCTTCACCAGAACAAGTGCCATCAGGTATGCTGAAGGGTACAGAGATGGCTTCATTGACCGTTCTCCCCCTGAGGGAGAGTTTAGCTCCTGTTCTGGTCCTGATGAATTGGATGCTTCTCTGAACATCAGTCTAGTAAACAACTACCAATATCCACCCTGTGACCCTGCTGAAAATATCTCTATTGAATGCATTGAGGTTGCAGCTTCAGGGATTGCTCCTCCCTTTCATCCTTTGAACATCCCTCTTATCACCACTATCATCCCTTCCACATCAGTTGCTTCTGATAGACTTACATTGACTAAGGGGGTCATCCATCTTGATTCTCCCCCAGAGATAGCGAGGCAACCAAAAATGGAGAGGTCAACAAAGAGTCTGGGTTAGGAGAGGAACCTGCCAACTAGATTTGTGGATCTTTGTAACAGTTATTTATTTATTTATACAAATATTCAAAAATTCATGTATCTCCAGAAAGTTAACTCATGTATTCAAGCACTTATTTTATTTGAAATGAAACAGGGAAAGATATACCTATTTTTTCCAAAACTTCCATTCTCTAATCCTGAATGGCATGATAACTTGATATATATATATATATATATATATATATATATATATATATATTATAATTTTTTTTTACAAGTATCTGACGTTCAGCTAATAGTGCTATTTGCCACTTACTTTGCTAAGTGCTTGGTGTTTGGCTGACAGTGCCATTCGGTCATGTATTCAATTTTGTGAAGGATTTTGGCGTTCGGCCCATAGTGCTAGTTGCCACCCGTTCTGCTATGTGCCTAGCGCTCGGCTAGAATGCCCCTTGCCGCTTGGCATATATTTATTTTTATGTAGGAGTTTGGCATTCGACTCGTAATGCTAGTTGCCACTTGCTCTGCTATGTGCCTGGCGCTCGGCTAGAATGCCACTTGCCACTCGGCATCTACTTATTTTTGTGCAGGAGTCTAGCGTTCGGCTCATAATGCCAATTGCCACTCGCTCTGCTGTGTGCCTTGCACTCGGCTAGAATGCCACTTGCCATTCGGCACCTACTTATTTTTGTGCAGGAGTCTGGTGTTCAGCTCATAGTGCTAGTTGCCATTTGCTCTGCTATGTGCCTAGCACTCGGCTAGAATGCCACTTGCCACTTGGCATCTATTTACTTTTGTGCAGGAGTCTGGCGTTCGGCTCATAGTGACATTCGCCACTTACTTTGCTAAGTGGGAAGAATGCCAATCAATTTTTATGTAAAATAAAATTATTTCACAAATCTTGGGAGTTTCATATACTTGCAAGTGTGCAAGCCAAAATGAGCATATTGTCGGAATTAAATTCTACTTCTATTGGTAGTACCTTTTCAGAGACGTGGCATTCCATGGTTTACTGACTAACCTCCCTGCTATGGTTTCAAGCACGTGTGCCCCCTTCCCCTCTGACTTCTGCAATCCTGTATGAACCTTCCCATGGTGAAAACATCTTTTTAACTATCCCCACCGTCCTTTTCAGAACCAGATCACCAAGGGCAAAGTCTCTATGCTTTACCCTTTTATTATGGCTATTTACGAGCGTCTGTTAAGAAGAAATAAGCCTTATTGTAGCTGCGTCCCTTTTCTCCTCCAGCAGATCAAGATTAAACCTTAACATGCTATCATTCTGCTCTTGATTTCACGCCAAGCTTCTAACGATTGGAACTAAGTGCTCGATTGGTATCACTGCCTCGGTGACGTACGCCATTCGTTGGCTCTCCCCAGTTGGCCGTCTCGGGGTTGTTCTGTAAGCCCACAAGACGTTCGGAAACTCGTCCAACCATTTTCCTTTTTCATCTTCAAGCTTCTTCTTAAAGATTATCCTGTTCATGATCTCAGCTTGACCATTAGCCTGGGGATGGCTAACTGCTGCCAACTTTTGATTAATCCTATATTCTTCCAGCAGTTCCTTCACTTGCTTGCTATTGAGATTGGTCCCATTGTCCATAACGATTGACCTTGGTACGCCAAAGTGACAAATAATATTATTCCAGATAAAGCGTCTTACTTGAGTTTGGGTCACACTAGGGTATGGCTCTGCCTCTACCTACTTGGTGAAGTAGTCTGTTGCTAGCAGAACGTACTTGTTCTACAATCTTGCGATTGG